GGAGGACAGGTGGCCTACGTGGGGGAGTGAGGGGAGGACAGGAGGACAGGTGGCCTACGTGGGGGAGTGAGGGGAGGACAGGTGGCCTACGTGGGGAAGTGAGGGGAGGACAGGAGGACAGGTGGCCTACGTGGGGGAGTGAGGGGAGGACAGGAGGACAGGTGGCCTACGTTAGTACCATCAGAAATTTGTCAAGTTTATTGGTATATTATTTATTGTATAATTATTGTCTCTAATTGTTTTATATAAGTTCATCAAGTTCCGATGTTCTTTTGTTATTATTTTTTGTGTTCTCCTGTGTGAATAAAGAATAAATTGTCTAATTTGTTCAATATATCACTTGTGACTAATATAGCCTATGTTCCTTAGTCATCTGAGGTTATGAAAAACGTTATTTTGACGTTATTTTATACATATTTTCCGTTATCAATGTTTTCTTTTCGCCGTCATTTCGTCCCCGTCCATTTCGCCGTCATTTCGTCCCCGTCCATTTCGCCGTCATTTCGTCCCCGTCCATTTCGCCGTCATTTCGTCCCCGTCCATTTCGCCGTCATTTCGTCCCCGTCCATTTCACCGTCATTTCGTCCCCGTCCATTTCACCGTCATTTCGTCCCCGTCCATTTCACCGTCATTTCGTCCCCGTCCATTTCACCGTCCATTTCGTGCCGTCGTCCGCAGAGGCTGACGCTGCGCAAGACGTCGTCCACGGCGCCGGCCTCCGCGGGCGACAAGATGCGCGAGGTGATCGCCCGCCGCGCCGCCCTCGAGTTCCGGGACGGCATGCATGCCAACCTGGGCATCGGCATGCCCATGCTGGCGTCCAACTACATACCCCGCGGTGGGTGGGGCATGCATGCCAAGAGCGGGAGTATTTCATATGAAAGGCCCTATATATGGCAAACAAACTTTCATATGAAAGTTATGAAGTTTTATGTCCCGCCAAGTCAGTTGCCACTATGCATTGGACAAGTGAGCGGCGTGCGTTTACTGTCGAGGCGCACTTTTCTGATGGCCGTATTGCAGAGCGCCTCATTGCCTCACCCCGCAGGTATGAGCGTGCCACTCACACCCCTCACCCCGCAGG